GTGTATACACTCTCTGTCTTTCCTTAAACTATGAGATTAAAATCGCTTCATTTCTTTCTACCAACTATTCCTTCTTGTACTATATCTTCATATGCCCCCAAATACCCTGGTACGGTCGAGAGTGTGGAGATTCCGCTCTCCCTCTCAAAATGCTCTCACATGGTCACACGTATATAGCCTCTGCCAGGGAAGTCCTACTCACTGCCTTCTCGCACCACGTCTGTTGTCTACGAAAATGAGAGGACAAAAAGCGAATGTCCAGTGCTTTAACCGGATCCCAAATCAATGGTGCACATGGGCTGGCTCCAGTATCCTGAAGGAACAAATGGCGTGTGAGCCAATCGTTCGTCACCAACTAACATGGGACTGTATCACCTTACGATGCTCCACTGCTTTATGGGTCAGATCTTCAGGTCGAAGGCTCGGGGTGTGGCTCCCTAAGAAAACTACCTGCTTCGGTTTGGGCGCCGGGGCAGTATCACAGCCCTCACACATATCAAATGAGATCTGTATGGCGCATATGTATTTGGTGCCTCCTTGTACCAATATCTATGTGTTAAAATAAATAAAATAATAAATAAATATCTTTATATACAATCTTTCTTTTATATATTACTTTTATGAACTCGTTGTTCATCTTTTTGTGCTAATGCAGTATGGTAACTTGGACCAATGCATATATGTGCCAGGTCCTACGTTGTAACTGACTGACTGACTCAGAATCTCTTCATACATGTATGGGTTAGTACTAATCCCGTTTAAACAGTCTTTAATCAATGAATCCAGTTTGTAAGAGTATTCAGACAAAGGTGGATGTTTAGTCTCTAGAATAGTTTAATGAGTAGAGTCAGTGTATACTGGGCTCAACAATGATCTTAGAGTCTTTAAGTACAAATCGATTTATGAACTTAGTTGGTCCACTCATCACTCTTAAATGGAGTTTTAAAATACCATCGGATTTGGTTTAATTTGCTATTGACCTATCACATCCTTTTACATGGATTGTTGAATAGTTTTTCTTCTCTCTGAGCTAGGTAGTTTGATAATGAAGCTTTCATTGTCAGTCTCTACAGTAACGTCAACAAACACTTCAATAAGAAACGAGTTGTTGGATGTTCTTCATAAGCGATTGTAAATAGCTCTTAACAGCTTATTTGTTATTAGAATGTGCGTGTTAATGAGGAAGATAGTGAAAGTTTCACGATTAAATCATCCAGCTTAGAGAATAAAACATTTTAAAAATTCGGATCCTGATCTAAAAAAAGTTCTCTACCATCTTAATGCTGGATGAACTTTGTGAAACACAAACCCTAATTGTAATACATTTGTGATGTATATTACTTATGTCAACAGATATGAGTAGTATATAACATCAATCGGAATTGGAAACCTAATCGGCAGAAAGCTGAGAAGCACGAGTTAAAGAGAATAGAAGTGAAAATAAAAAAAGGAATTATGAACTGGAAGAATCATACAGAATATGAAGAACAAATAATGGAAATTAGCAAATTAAATATTCAATGTATGATTCTCATATTTTACCAATAGAATCTGCAATGTATTGAAGAATATTGGTTGTTCCTAACTTTATTCTCTTTCACTACACATTCAACAGTTACATTTGTAACACTTTACTGTACGTATGAACTACTGATATACTGTCAATCCAATGTAGAATTAAAAAGTACTATTGAATCAATTCCACAAGTATAATTTGTCTTATTAATTTCAATGGACATGAGGTTATAAACAATCTGAGGACCGATCAGAAGTTATCGTATTGAATTAGTGGATCCAACTGAGTAGAACTAGTAGCATATATCTCATCATGAACATTTTTACCGTTTTGTTTAAACACATAAACAGTCGTACACACTCCACACTCCGTCATTCGATTTGTCTGAGGGCTGGGATACTGCCCGTTTGCTCAAACTGAAACAGGTGGTTTTCTTAGAGGACCACACCTGGAGCCTTTGACCTAAAGGTTTAATGCACAAAGCAGTGGAACAACGTAAGGGGATGCAGTCCCATGGTAGCCGGTGATCAACAATTGGTTCATAAGCCATTTGTTCACTCAGAATACTGGGTTTTTCAACTCCTCTAGGTGGATCCTCCATATCCACCAATCCGGTTAGCGCGCCAGGCATTCGCTTTTTGTCCTCTGAATTTCGTAAACAACACCCCTGATATGAGAAGGCAGTGAGTAGAACTTTTCTGTCAGTGGTTGTATGCCCGTGGTCATGTGAGAGCATTTTGAGAGAGAGAGCTGACTCTCCCCACTTTTAACCGTGCCAAAGTATTTGGGGGCAACTGAATTGAACATATTTCTTAAAAGTGCTTAAATGAATGGTACCTATGTATTCGTACTAATCGAGATAAGTTTTATGAAAATTAAATCTAACATCCGTATCGCCCCATACATGTCTTCGATCCTATTGCTTATGGTTTTTAAATAGGAACTATTGTAATTCTTATAACATGACGTATGAACAAAAGACTAATACAAATGTGAATCTATCGACTCTCAAAGTCGTCATCAGACAAAAATACCCTCATTTATATCCTGGTATCTACACACCTTAGTATCACATAAAATGAAGGATACATAGAGTTACTGAAAGACACCCATATTGATATCGCCATCCCTGTCATACTGAACGAAGTTTATACTGAATTGATAGTAAAAAATACTGACCTACAATAATATCATCTTTTTATCCCATTGACGTTAGTATTTTCAGTAGTATGTCTTAAACGTAACTGATTTACATAATAAAAGTTATCCTAACTAAGTTGCTTGAAACAACTAATCAAATTCTACAAATTTCAATCATGTAACAGAAAGGTAGCATTTAGTCATAGGTCGATGGTTCAAATCCAGTTTTATATAATTCGATTCAGAATATTGGTTAGTATCCCATTAACCATCTTTCATGCATAGTTTGACAGAGTGAATAAATCAATACTCGATTACATTAAAGTATTGATTCATATAGACAATACACAATTCAAGCAACTTAATCAACCATAATGATTACTTACTTACCTAGACCTGTAATCTTCAATGGAGCATAAGCCTCTGATCAGCATTCTCCAACCCACTCTATTCTAGGCCTCTCTTTCTAGTTCAATTCAATTGTTGTTCATTCTTCTCATGTCTATCTCCATTTCTCGGTGTAATATGTTCCTTGATCTCCCTCTTCTCCTTTCGACTTGAGGATTTCAAGCGATAAGAGCTTGTCTTGTGACGCAGTTGCGTACTTTCCTCAATATGTGTCCTATCTATTTCTTCCTCCACTGGAATCTGGTTTGTTCTCTCTCATAGTAGGTTGTTACTGATAGTATCTGGTCAACGGATTTGAAGTATTTTGTATGAAAGCATCCCAGATATCAGGTTACTGATAAACCACTGATGAGGAAGAAATTAAATATCAGATTATTCATTAGTTTCATGTGATTTTCATTTAACTATATTTTCTATTGTATTATTATACACTACAATTTTCATTGTATTCTGTTATATCTCGATGAGAATAATGAATGGTAACTTTTGGGATCCATTTGTGGATCAATACTATACGTATGCTTTTATCGTACAATTGTTAAGTAGCTAAACTATTCATATTCATATTCCTCTTATTGAAAGCTTTATTTTGACACATAGATGATTATTGTACGATTTACCAGTCTACTTATTACAGTCTCCCATATTCACAGCCACTTTTGGCTAGATCTTGTACAGATGTTGTTTCCCATTTTATGGTACGATGTGGTCTGTTTGCTTGGTTTTAAACTCAGTATGTTTGAAATACATAATTCATATGATGGAGGCTGAGATTGGTGTTCTTGACTTAATGGGCAGCAGGGTTCGACAACGAGAAGAACCGATAAGTACTCTAGACTGGTCGTACGGGTTTTATGTGTCGTTGGTCCGGTCGATAAATCACTGTTCTCTGATTGGTGGTGTCACTACGTTATACATTATTAGGACACAGGGCAAAATTTATAACAGTTTCAAGCATTATAAGATTTACTTGAAGAATAAGCTACGATGGAGGACAACTGAGAAAAGATCAAAGAAGCACTAACGTGGACATGCTACGAGGTTCTTGGCCGCAAGAAGCATCATCATAAGGAATGGATCTCTATCGAAACCCTGGAAAAGATTCAAGAAAGGAAGAACAAAAAGACAGAAATCAACAACAGCCAAACAAAAGCAGAGAAAGTCTAACCACAAGCTGAATACACTGAAGCAAACAAAAAAGTGAAGAATAGCATTAGAGCCGGTAAGTAGAATAACGTGGAAGAGTTAGCAACGACAGTGGAAAAGGCTTCAAGAGAAGGAAATATGAAACAACTATGTGATAAAACGAAGAAAATAGCAGGGAAATATAGTAAACCAGAGACACCGGTCAAGGACAAGCAAGACAAGACGGTCATCAGGATTCAAGAACAGAGGGACAGATGGGTAGAATACTTTGAGGGACTCTTGAATAGACCAACTTCAATGAATTCAACGGACATCGAAGCAGCACCTACAGACCTTCCTATAGATGTCACTCCACCAAAAACGGAAGAAATCAGGATGGCCGTCAGATAAATCAAGGGTGAAAAAGCAACAGGACCTGAAAATATGCCAGCTGAGGCTCTGAAGTCAGGTATAGAAGCAACTGCAAACATGCTCCACATTCTATTCAGGAAGATTTGGGAGGAACGACATGTGCCACAGACAGACTGAAAGGAAGGACACCTCATCAAGATACCAAAAAAGGAGATCTGAGAAAATGTGAGAACTGAGCTACAGAGGCATCATACTACTGTCAGTACCAGGAAAAGTATTCAATAGAGTGTTGCTGAACCGGATGAAAGACTCAGTAGACGCCCAACTTTGAGATCAACAGGCTGGATTCTGAAAGGATCGGTCGTGCACAGATCAAATCGCGACACTACGGATCATTGTTGAACAATCAATCGAGTGGGACTCATCACTATACATCAGCTTGATTGACCATGAGAAGGAGTTTGACAGTGTGGATAGGAGGACAATATGGAAACTTCTTCGACACTATAGAGTGAGCGACTGAGAAGGTTGTCAACATCATCCGTAATTCATACGACGGACTACAGTGCAAAGTATTGCATGGAGGACAGCTGACATGCATTCGAAGTGAGGAACGGAGTCAGACAAAGTTGCTTACTCTCCTCCTTCCTCTTTCTTACTGTGTTCGACTGCATTATGAAGACCACATCTGACGGGAATCATGGAATACAATGGACAGGTTAGATGCAACCAGGCGATTCGGGCTTTGCAAATGACCTAGCTTTTCTGTTCCATGCACACCAACAAATACAGGCGAAGACAGCCAGTATAACTGGCGGTAGATAAAGCACACATTGTAGAAATCACCAAAGTGTAGCATGAGTCATGTTCCAACTTATAATCCCAAAGGGAAAATAAAAAATGGAAGACCAAAGAAAACATTTTGTCGAGAATTGAAGGCAGTCATCAAAAGAATAAATAACAACTAGAAACAACTGTAAAGGATTGCCCAAGACAGAGTTGTTCCGAGAATGCTGACTGGCGGCCTGTGTTCTTTTACTGGAAGTAATAGACGTAAGTAAGTATTGTAGACTAATCTTGTATTTTCATTTTCGTCATTTCAGGTACTACTCTTTATGTTTAAACTAAAGCTTTGTGTGACTTGCGTATTCTTTCCCAACTGTATACTGGATTTGCAATTCTTTGAACTATCTTATAATTGATATTTTGACTGAATTTTAATCAAATTTGGATGGAATATATGTGCATCCTGTGTGGAATGCTTCAGTATACTCATTGTAACACAAGTTTATGTAAAATAGCTAGAATCTAATTATCACTAAAATCTAGAATATGCATTCTGTCCTATTTAAGACTCATCAGCTGAATATACATTTGCATCTCCAAGCTGATATCTACTCTGAGATATCGAGGCAATCCTCAGTTAACATACTAATAACAATAATAATTCAAAGTGTTACAAATCATATTTAGAATTCATACTCATTACATATATGAGTGGATACCCGAACACAGTAGCTAAGTAAATTACATGTTAGATGTTTTAGGTTGTTATAACGCTCTGTTTTATTTCGTCTACACGAATGGAACATTAATTTACGTTAGACGAATATCTACACTAGATTACCTTCCAGTGTTTATTATTTCACAGGACTTCAACACAATTCAGATCAAGAACACATGATTAAACTGACTAGAATGTAAATATATTTCTACACCAAAAAAACCCGACACAATCCAACAATAATGAACAATCAATTAATCATAAGGATAGGGGAATATATAACTCATCTAATACTTGTGAAACTATCTACATGTCTGATTAAGAAAACAATCAATCAGTAATATTTTAAAGATTTCCATTATCATGCTCCTAAACGCCCTGGTACGGCTGATAGTAGGGAGAGTCAGCTTCCTGTTTCTCGAAATGCTCTCAAGTGGCCACGGACATACAACCACTGACAGGGAAGTCCTAATCACTGTCTTCTCAAAAAGAGGTTGTTTACGAAATTGAGAGGACATGGAGACTCCACCTAGTGGAGTTAGAAAAACCTGATTCTAAACCCAATGATGCACATGGGTTTCAGGATTCTGATAGAACAAATGACGTATGACTCAATTGTTGATCATCAGATACCATGAGACTGCATCTTTTTATGTTGCACCACTATCATGTGGATTAGACCTTTATAATAAAGACTTCGGGTATGGTCCCCTAAAAAAATCATCTGTTTCAATTTGGGCATCCACACAGTATCTCAGCCCTTATATAAATTGAATGATTTTTTATATGGCACATATCTATTTGATGCCTCGTTATACCAATCAATATTTATATATTCAAATAAATCAATAAAAACATTTCCACAAAAATATATCGATTAATCATTGAAAAATCAATCAACTAATCAATCAATCAATCAAATTGAATTCCATCTTCTTTCAAGTATCATATATATATATTACTTATTTACTTAGGCTTGTTACTCATATTATTACATTACTTGTGTAGGATATTGTTTATTTATTACTTAATATTATTATGTTATCATTGATTATTTTATTCTTATTTATTGATTTTATACAATCAAATCAAATCAATATAACAATGAATAATTTAATCGATATTTTATTATCCCTTAGAAACAAGAATTTATTTATGTTACCATATAATCGGTTATTATTTTATCCATATAATGGACCATTTTATAAACCATTATGGAAATTATCTAAACCATATTATTATTTTTCACAATATGGTTTCCCTAATCCATCCCATCAATCATTATCATCTAGAATAAATATGAAATTTATCATCAATGATATATTGATTATTAAAGTAAGTAATTCAATTGTATATACTTAACTACATGCATAGTTGCTATGGTTACTAGAAGAGGCATCCACTTCATAACTCTTTGAAATGAAGCATTTCAAGTTAACGTTCTGAATTGATTAGTGATAAATTACTATAGAAAATCTAGAAGTACAGGGCGAGTTTTTTGTCCTAGTATAAGATTCTTCAGTAGTGTACATCTATGATCTTGTATCAAATAGAATTGAACTCAGGATCTTGTTCATTTATGACTGGAGTATAACAGAAGCTCCTCTGAAATTAGTCGTTGTTGTCCAACTTAAGTCTAATGTGTTTCACTGATTCCAAGCATCTCCAGGTTGTATCATTTTCATTTCTGCAGCAATTAGGAAGACTCTCTCGGTCGCTCACATTGTACCATACCGAAATTAATGGTTGCTCTGGTTGTCAGAAGAGGCATCAAATTTTGACTTCCGAATGAACTCGGCTTTCATCATGAGATGTCATAACTCTACTAAATGAAGACCTTCTAACTCCTAGAGCAGAGTTTAAATGGTCTGAATTATTTTTTTGGTTAGCGTTTTTTTTTCAGCGAATTAGTATTCTACGGAATGGGTTCGCTAACCTCATGTCCAACCCTTCTTCTTTATCCAAGCTTGGGACCGGCAGTAGCCTCAGAGGGGCTTCAGGTGGAGTTAGTTTTATATTACATTTATAGAAAATGAAATATTTATCATCAAAGGAAAGGAAGGCCTAGGACAGAGTGGGTTGGAGAATGCTGATAGGCGGCTTATGCTCCATTGAGAGTAACAAGCGTAAGTAATTAAGTATTTCAAGTTAAATTTATTAATTGATTAAAGCTAGATTATCAATAAATGACTGTTTTGTCCTAGTATTGAACTCTTCAACAATGTGTATCCACGATCCCGCATTAAAGGGACTCGAACTCAGGACCTTGTTTATTCAATTAAATGAATTGAGATTTTTTTAAAAAAGTTATGAATTGATGTTACTTAGGAGTTGATTTTAAACTTATGAAGTAATGTACACGTGTTTTTTTCCATTTAACTAATTTTCATTTTCGATATATACTGAATTCGATTAAATAAATTACAAGTCTCAATAAGCAAGGATGGATAATGTTGGATAGCAGTAAAATCCAGGACGCGCATTTCATCCTCAGCTTGATATATTTGCATCACAGAGCTAATATTGACTCTAGAACTCCAACTCAGTATTGTTCGCTTCAAACACCAACGCGTTATTCACTTGGCTACTTAGTCCTGATAGCCACTTGCTTGTGCTATAGGGTAAAGCTTAATTGACTTAATGTTGTTTACTTGTATCTACCTACTGTTTTTTAGGACTGCAATTGATCGGTGTCTTGTTGACATATGTCTCGATATAGCCTTAATTCACAAGCATTATAAGTAAAGATGGCTGGTGGCTAGTAGTGGAATCCAGGACGCGTGTTTCGTTCCATTTAGGGCTCATCAGCTGGATGTGCAAGTAAACAATACCAAATGAATTACATATCCCAAAGTTAGTAATTTGTTATTCAGTCTCAATGTAGGAAAACATTTACATTGTTAGTTAAAATATCCAATGTAAACCTAAGAGTAATCGACAATTGTATGATTTCGTCTTGAAAATTTTTGGTTGACTTTTGATAACTTACATCGCAAACAGTGTAGACAATTTATCCGTTTATGACTGTGAAATATAGATTGGAAGATATTCATAGATCAATAGTATTTGATTATTGATTTATTTGTAGTATTTCTCAAGTATATTGAGACCATCAAGTGAAAAAATGTTCCATATAAAATCAGGGTATCATGTAAAGATAATAAAACTGTTGAATAAGATATTGAATGTTTGTTGACTGAAACGGTTAGCATATGTATTACGTTAATTAATCCAACGACTGCCTTGAAGGCTATAGTCGTCTGTTGGTGAAGTAAGTTGCGAAGAATTTAGTGTAGGAAAAACGAAGACGCCACCTAATTCCATGAAATTACTTACTATTGATCTTAACTATGTGGTTATGTGCAAACTACTTGGTTGAAACCTGCATGATTATCACAACAAGTTGTTAGAAACATCGAGTTGGATACAAATGTGATAGGCTATATGTTGATTAGGGCTGATTTATGAATAGATTACAATATTCACTGTTCAGTAGGAGTAATCTAGTTATGACAGATCTCATCAAAGTCAAGTTGAGTAAGAGTAGTAGACGTTTAATGATAGATATAATTGAAAATCACCTGTATTATTGGCTTGATTTGTTCAGTTTAGATCATGTCTGTTTTCCTAGATCAATGCGTATTTGTGCCAGATCATATATTAGGATTTGCGAACACATGTCTAATGCATCTTACTGATGGAGTTTTGTCCTCTGAACTGAATGGTTTGGTCCAGGAGCTTTCATCTTTCGAATTTCTTCACACATATGCTTCACAGCTTGTCCTAAAGACCTTGATGTTGATTAAAATCATTCCAATCTATCAACTAATCAGGAAAATTATGGACAAATATAGAATCAAGTATCAAACCAATCGGAGATACAACCAAAACGAAGAAATAAACAATGACAGGTTTAAGGTAAACAAGAATCACAGTCAACATCGAGATCTACAAGACAAGCTATGAACCACATATGTAGAGAATTTCGAATACTTCACTTCTATCTGATGAACAATGAAAGCTCCACGATCAAACCGTCCAGCTCAAAGAACAAAACTTTAACTACAAATCTCATTTCACTTATCCGTCTTCTTCTTCTTCTCCTTCTTCTTTCTATCACAAGGAATCAACTCATAATTTAACAAGAAAATATATTCTAATAGAAAATTTCACATTATTTGATTTATATTCTAATTTATTATCAAAATTTGCTAATGATATTAAACAATATAAAAAGGAAACATTTACAATTGATGATACTACTGATAACAATGATAAGAGTAGTATAAGTAGTAACATGATGAATTCTATGAATATTAAACCTTCAATGATGAACAATTATGATGGGAACCAAATGGATAATGAGAAAATGACAAATACAATGGTGTATACACATGACGAGGATGATGATGATGATGATGAAGATGATGATGATCAGAATGATAGAATAACTAATGTTATTTTAGGTGAACGACTTCAACCAAGAATGTTTCTTCCTTTATTTATTGATATTTATAGAATATTTAAAGCTATTAAAGTACAATGTGGAAATAGTAAGTTATCAAGTACAACTTTGAATAGATTACTTGTTGATTTGTGAGCATAAATGATGTAATTTTCTTTTATCTGTCATCATATAAGGTTAAATATAGATGAAATACTTTGTGATGGTCGATATTCAATAGAATCCTTAAACTTCGTATACAGTCTATCTTGATAACCGTCACTAGATAACACCTCAACGGTGTGCTAATCAGAAGATGAATACGAAGTTTTGATTGAGTTTATTATTGCATCACACACAAATAACCTAAATTTACAAGTATGTTAAGCGAACATGAAAGAGTAGTGGCGAAACGCTAGTGGGAAAGTGAGTGAACGTACGAGTCGAATGAGCGAGTCAACAAGTCCATGAACAGGATTAAAATGTACATGTACATATATATCCATAATGAAATGAATCAACCATCGAATCAAATAAGCGACTACTAGTAAAGCTAGCAGAATGAATATAAGAGTAGGCAGTAATCAATGCTCAAGCATACATATTCATACAACTGCAACAATAAGAAAGGTACAAATGACGATATTACTGATAACGATGATAAGAGTAGTATAAGTAGTAATAATGATTATTTATTTTATTTTATTTTAACACATAAGTATAGGTACAGGGAGGCACCAAGTACATATGCGCCACACAAATCAAAATTGATTTGTGTGAGGACTGTGATACTGACCGGGTGCCAAAACCGAAGCAGGTGGTTTTCTTAGGGGACCACACCCCGAGCCTTCGACCTGAACGTCTGACCCACAAGGCAGGCAGTGGAGCATCGTGAGGAGATGCAGTCCCATGGTAGCCGGTGACCAACGATTGGTTTATACGCCATTTGTTCCGTCAGGATCCTGGAGCCCATGTGCACCATTGGTTTGGCATCCGGTTAAAGCGCCGGACATTCGCTTTTCGTCCTCTCATTTTTGTAAACAACACCTGTGGTGCGAGATGGCAGTGAGTAGGACTTCCCTGGCAGAGGCTATATACGCATGGCCATGTGAGAGCATTTCGAGAGGGAGAGCGGACCGTCGCCACTCTCGGCCGTACCAGGGCATTTGGGGGCAGTAATAATGATAATATTGATGAATCCCATAAATATTAAACCTTCAATAGTAAACAATTATGATGGGATCCAAATGAATACTGAGAAAATGACAAACACAATGGTGTATGCACATGATGAGGATGATGAAGATGATCAGAATAACTACTGTTAATTTAGGTGAACGACTTTAAGCAAGAATATTTCTTCTTCTATGTCTAATATGATCTATGAACTGTTATAAGAGTTCATGTGTAATTGAGTTTGTTCACATTTAATTTGGTGTAAGCCCTTTGTCATTTGTACAATAACAACTTCTCTATACCATCTCAATCTCGAAAGTTTGAGAAATTCCCAACATTCAATGACCTTCCCCAACGTTTTGGGGAAATGGTACCGAAACCCAAAAATTTGCCCAAAACTGGTAGAGTTTACCCCAAAATTAGTAGATTGGGATTGTAAGTTTATTATTGTGGCCCGTGTATGAATATGTATACTTGAGCATTGATTACTGCCTATGTATATATTCATTCTGCTAGCCTTACTAGTAGCTGTTTAATTGATTCGATGATGGTAGTCTAGCTTCAATTGATTCATGATCTCAACTATTGAAATTACTACAATCTCTACAAAACCCCTTCTGAGGAAGAAAATAACTAAAATGTAAGTTAGAACTTGAAATGGAATTTCGAATAAGAATTCAGCTATTACTCGACTGTTAGTACTCGCTCATCCAAATGAACCGGAAAATAACTGAAAATGTTTATGTACAATACATTAGAGATAACTATAGTTTGGTGTCTCTAACTTTGCCAATTACATGGTCGATCAGCATTAATGATCTTGACCCGGCAGCTAGGTTCCTGTTAGTTGACTATTTGCTAGATTCTCTCTTCGTCCTGACCTTGGTTCACATGTAGCAACCAGCCTCTACTATATTTGTATTTCAAGCAGAGGTGGTTTATATACAGGGGATAACATACGTCATCACAACGTAAAATGAAAAATAACAATATATGTACGAACAAGACAAAAGTGTCTGTTGATAGGGGAGACTGTATGTAATCGACTGACAAAAATTGAGGAAGTCAAACGGTAGCTTATGAGAAATGAAACATATACAAAGTAAAATCTAGTTACTCAGTAATTATATAACAATATCACATTTACCTACTCAGTCATAACCCCTATAAGATGACCATAGACATCCATTCAGTCAACAACGTAGAACTTCGTAGGTACGTACATCAGTTCGAGTTACCATACCACATTAGCACAGAGATACAATTGTCAATTCAATCCCCGTAGTGGTAGAGGTAGGAAAAGTATAAGCAGTCATCGGAATGTTTAGGGTTTGAAGATGTTATTCAAGGAGTATAGTAGAGTGAAATAAATTTAGAAAGAGAAAAAAGAAATGGAGAACATAAAAAGTAGATGCATCTGCTTACATCATTGCAAATGATTCTGAGTCATGTCATTCAAGGTCTCTAACCATCGATTGCTATCGTCTTGCGGATCCCAACCAGGTAGTTTACACCTTCATGGATTTGTGCCATATTTTGGTCTGGCCACCCCTAGCTTCCTTCCAACCTACTCCTACACTATAAAACATCGCTCGTCGGGGCAGTCGGTGGTTGAACATACTTAATACATGTTTCAGCCATCTCAGCTGATGACGTTTCACTACTTCATCAATTGATTTGCCATTCTTATCTAGTACCCGTTTCATAACAACTGCATTACATACTCGGTGGTCCCAGGATATACGAGCGATGTTTCGAAGACACCTATGGTCAAATACTAGTAACCTACGAATATCCTCTACTCTTACTGGCCATGTTTCACTGCCATAAATTAGGACGGAACGAACTGCTGCGCAGTAAACACGTCCTTTGGTTAATAGACGGATGTCTCGCCTACGCCATGAATGACGCAAGTTGGCAAAAGCTAGTCGAGCTTTCTATATCCGTGCTGAAATTTTGTCACACACCAGATCATATACATTAATGCGAAATAAATATTTAGTTACTATAAATGTAATTTGGCTAGTGAGAGGCTAATGGCATAAGATCTATTATTTTTAATGATGATTTATCCTGTCATTCATATATCAGATATTTGTGTAGTCATAATTCAAATGTTTACTCACATGACTATACTATATAAGAATAATAGAACTTACTTACTTACTTACGCGTATTACTCCTCATATAGGAGCATAGGTCACCCACCAGCATTCTCCATCCAACTCTGTCCTGGGGAAGAACAACAGAATAATATTAAACCACGAGCATAACGTAATACCATAAGGATTAAAGTAAATGAATATGATATCAGTTTATTAGTGGAGATAGATGGCGAGTATCCCATTTAGATTTCGTTTATGTTGAAATTTAATGCTAATTTTAATTGAAATCTTTCAGAGTATTTGGGTTGAGCTTTTAATTAATCCTATCGTTGGAGAAATTTTCATAAAATTATGCAAAATGTAATTAATTTCACTTATGACTAGAGTAAGGAAGTTAAAATCGAAAGGAAAGAAAAGACGTGTTCGGCACAGGTCCACTTTCAAAGACTTTGAGTGGCTTAGTTCGTAGAAGATATTCCGAATCCAGAGTGTTTGAAATCGGTAATTAATGTGTAAAGCGTCATGGTACTTTGCTTTTTGCATATTTAGATAATCAGTTAGTCTTAAAACTTTGTAAATCGTATCTTTCTTTTTCAGTGTGAATATTGGCTTCTTGGTTGCTTTTTAGCTACTTCCATGAAAACTATTCCCATATTCTCTGAAAGAATTGATGTAACACTGAAACAATGACTTGGCAAATTGTAGATGATCCATTCTCCTTGTCTCTAATAGACAATCCATAAGTGTGTGGTAACCAACTAGAAAGTTCAGTTAGTGTGAGTAAAGTAGTCATATGTAATCATCATCAATAAGTGTTGGGAACTAATAAGACTACTAATCATGATTAACATTTTCTAAGATAACCTACTGTGAAATATCTAATGTGTAACCATAATTTACCCTAAAACTGTACTAGTCGGTATTTAATAAACGACATCAATATTTTTTTCATAAGACTAATCATATTTGAGAGTTGTTCGGTGCATAAACCATGTAAACTTTCTAAAAGTCAAGCAATACTCTGACTTAAACCTGATTGATAGGTAAACCTTGAATAAATAGCTGAAGAAATCTTGAATTCTTAACTATTTTGGCCAGTCAAGAGACAGGAATGATGAATGAATGGTTTGTTGTGCTGAGAATTTGAATAAGAATTTGATTTAAGGATCCCCCATATTATTGACGGTATTAGTTCATGATGGATACACTAGCCGTAACATTTAGTCCTGACTCTTAACACTAACTCTCATATTTGTTCCATGACATTTCTCGTCCTTCATTTTTCCGTCTGTATGCTTTGGGCTAATCGTTCGATTTTATACAGAGTAAGATGACAACCAGAATTGAAATAAAGGACGTGAGTTCTATTTTATTCGAGACTTGTCATCTGCATTTTAGAGTTGATTTTTACTCCGGGGTTTGGTAGTACTACCTCTACTTCTAAAGCCAATACGTTATCTACTGAGCTACTGAGTCCAGATAACTACTGATTGATTCCAAAGGGAGAATTTTAATTCATTGTTTTAATTGCTTGAACATCAACTGTGGGACGCAGGTAAATCCAAATGATGAATTCAATATGGAACAAAACGTGTATCCTAGATTTCACTGTCAGCCACTATCTAAATCTCAATAAACGGCTTATGAACTAATGGCAATATTTAAGCAATCTTCACAGGACCCGCAAATTGGGAAAGAGAGATCAATTTCATTTATAAACATTGATAAGAAGATTCTAATAACCAGCATGAAGGCAGTAACTGTTTGATATTTAATTAACTTATTTAACTAGATTTAACGTTCTCCCAGATAGAGCCAAACGAAGATAGGGTATGTATCTGTGTTTATTCCATTAGTGAATTCTAGATACAAGAGCAGAATTCTTACTGGAGACTTCATTTCATGCTCAAGTCAATATTATAATCCTAACAGTTGTGATATAACACCTCAGCATACCTTGTGTTTGCATGTCTGTATCCCTACACTTAACCTAGTAGTTTCTTTACTCCTGATTGGTTTAATTAAGGTCAACCTATTCGACGAATCAGAATATGATTAAAAAGAAGACGCTACGAGGTTATTAGATGATCATTTCCAGGTAGTGAATAAAAATGAAACTGTCGGGGGACGTTAGATCCCCAGAACTCACTTGGAAAAAAACCTAATTTTGTAATTTTATTTAGAAAATTTGAATTTCTTTCCCACTTGGGAAATATCTTAAATGCTATTGGTCCATTGTGTCTTTTATTATGCTATTTGGTAACTCTCCCCAAGGACGGTTTTGTGCTGTATATATATATATATATATATATATACGTATTGATTTGTGTTTGTTGTGATCAGTGGTTTCTGGCAGTTTGCAAAATATACTTTCCCATTCTGAGCTTGGACTTTTTCCTCTAGTTAGCATGGCTGGAACGCATCAAATAACTAGCTTAATGGTCTTTGATCACCGAATCTTTGTTCTCGTTCGTAGATTAAGTGAACTCGTAACCGCTTCAAATCTAATAGTAACCTACTTTTAGGGTAATATAAGTAGTTCCAATATGTGTTTTTAACAGTTCCATAAGTGTTCTGAAACTTTATTTCTTTTGTTTGTTTGTTTTTTTTCTTTTATATCATTTGTTTTTTAGCCTGTAAAGATTATATACCAGATTATCAATATGTTCTATGGATGTATAATTGGGTTATTTGTACACAATTAGGACCAAAACCTAAAAATGATATTGATGGAATATGTCCTAAAATTTGTCGTCCACGTGAAGATATAATAAAAAATGATTTTATTCAACAAATTATTAATTTAACTTTTAAACCAATTAATATTATTAATCCATTCGATGTTTGTTCACAATTACTTCATACAATATCTGGTTCATGTTTAGTACATGGAAATGGTGTATATGTGAATGAGTTCACGTAAGTTTCAAAGATTATCATATAAGAACATGAAATATTGAACAGTTATTCAAGTTTTACATAAACCTTTTAATGATTGTGTATTAACAATCCTGTTAATTATTTAACTTAAGTCTTTCAAGTTTTCCAAGGAAGTTTATTATCTTCAAATTAATGAGTTGAGATTCAATGGTTTATATCTTTGTATGATAATTAGGAGTAATTGAATTATAGTATAAACTAAGAATCCCAGAAATAACGCAATTGAATCAAGAAGTACTACACAAACACTAACGAATGTATTGTATTTAGAATTCGAAATCAAACATTCAACAAGTACAAAGCAATCATTAGTTCATTCAAACACCACATCCGCCACAGCTTAAATTGGAATCCAGGTGTCTGTAATTGATTGCACGTCTTATTCTTAAGTTCATCCTGTGTCTGTCCGACAGTGTATTGGATAAAGACTCTGTATTATCTAGAATGCACTCATTAGTATTAGAATTAACAACGGAAATCGGAACAGACTCACTTGATTTCTGGGATTGTGTACAATCATCATGTCGGTTGAGTACTGAAACTGCTACCTAGAATTTGAACCATAGACTTTCAGACGGTCCTCCCCCACGAAATAACGTCGGATCTTGATATCCCCAAGTTATGAATAATGTGACTTCATTTAAAACATCCTTCTCACATTGACTAGAGTATACATTATAAGTGACTTTATGATAAGGACAAACAACAGTTGATATGGAATCATCTGAATTGTGATCAGAATCGAGCTCATTTAATACTCGTTCTTCGCATTGAACAAGTTTCTCACAAGAAACAAATGCATCATGAGGACAAGTAATATTTGATATGACATCAAGATTTGATTCTTCTGAAATAATTTCCTCAAATTTATTAGGAATGTCATTGCAGAGTAAAGGATCATTAGAAAAATCAGCATCAATTAAAACTACATCAGTTTTTCGATCATGATTAGGTTCATCCGAAATATTTTCACCAGATTTGTAAGAAATTTCATCAGAAATATGTGAATCATTAGGAAAAATCATATCTGGTACAATAACATGAGAAATCTGATATGTTGACTCATTAGAAATTGTTTTCTCGCAAGGATTCTGAGTTTCACTTAACTCTGAACTGCTAGATGACTCTAAACTGTCTTTTGAAATCGTTGATAAAGATAAATGGTCATTATAAATACTCAACTTATTAGGATCAGAATTACAAACTGACTGAATATGTCCAATGCCACCACATTTAAAGCATTTAGAATTATGAAATTTGCATGAATTAAAAGAGTGGAACCTGCCACAGGATAAACATTGACCAAACGTGGAATTTTTCATATCATCATGAATCATTTTACGAAATCGCCCTTTACTGCATCCGAAATTTGTATACTTAGCATAGTCTAGAAGTAGTTCCTTGAGAGTTGTATAAGGAAGAGAAATGGGCTTTTCCGGTAAAGCCAAAACTTTTAATAAGCTATATGCTTCTTTTCCGATGAATGTGAGATGTGACACAATATTAATATTCTCATCATCTTCCTTGGTCATAGCCCAGATTTCGAACCTTTCAAAGTAATCCTCATAAGCATCAAAATCCGAATGAATATCTAACTGTTCCATCGCAGGCCCAATCGCGACGCCAATATGATAATTAGGAGTAATTGAATTATAGTATGAACTAAGAATCCCAGAAATAACGTAATTGGATCAAGAACTACTAGATAAGCACGAACGAATGTACTGTATTTAGAATTCGAAATCAGGCGTTCAACAAGTACCAAGCAATCATTAGTTCATTCAAACACCACACTTTGTCTACGATCGATTTTCACCATTCTATGTCGTTGTTCATTTTTATCTCACTGCTTGTGCAATTAAACTCTACCATTCATGGCTTCCCACTAAATCGTCTGGAATTTTTTCCGAAACAACCAGTCATTACGTAGTACATAAATACTATCAGGATGAGAATTTTGTGAAGGTTGTTATATTTCAAGATAGTTTACACCACATAGTAACTTTCGAAAAAGATTATTGCCTTTTCCTGATAAATTATTCAGACGTACTGAAGACTAGTACATTAGGAGACATTTTGGTGAGTTTCTACTATAGACCAATAACATGTCGTTAACTTATAGCAAAGTACCGTAGAGAATCTAGATTTGTGCTATACCAAGGATATAACTGAGAACAAACACTATTATGCTTTAATTCAATAAAGTTGTAAGCCTAACTTTCGGAAAAATTGTTTCGATTCTTGACTATTTGACAATTCGTGTGAGTTCGAATCCAACTATAATGATCAGTTATAGAGAGATTGTAGAAACATTTTACTAATGAATAACCACTAGCATGAAATCTATGCTCAATACATTATGTCAATTTCTTCCGACTATATCAAACAATGTGTCTTGTGACAACAAGTTACTTAGACAAGTAACCACGTCTCAATTTGGTAAACTCAATTCTATCAGATCTCATAAGTTAAACACATCTAGGATATTTTATCATTATGGTATATTGATTAATCAACTAATGTAATTGTATGTTCAGTGGTCAATGAACATCGAACCAATCTGTGAAAGATATTGACATTCAGTTAAAGATCTTAATATATTGCTAGATAGCTGTCATGTAAACATATTCAATTACTGTATATCTCATCAATTCACAAAAACATCTAATGATAATATCCATTCTGAGACCATCATAAACTACCATCCTTTTCTTTAAAAAGAAAAGAAAGAAAAGGAACAGTACAAAATACAACGATAAGACAACTGCTTAGAGCTTCCAGGTATCCCACTGCTGATCTAGCTTTAATTGACTCATGTCCTCAACGATAAAAACAACTTTATTTACATCTTTAACCAATCAAAACTAGTATAGTAATACTTTACGTTGATTGGTCAACTGATGGAATAAACTGTCCAATAAAATTTATTCAGACTATGTAGTAGCATAACCCAAAATCTACTTTATTAAAATGTCAGTATTGGGGTTGTGGAGATTATTAAGTTTTTGATTGAGATCATGAATCGACTGATGTTAGACCACCGTTGAAAACCTGGAAGCACTAGACGGCCGTTTCGTCCTAGTAGGGGACTCCTCAGTGGCAGTGCGCATCTGCAATTCCGCTCGCGGGATTCGAACCCAGGGCCCTCAGTCTCAAGCGCGAACGCTTAACCTACTGGACCACTCAGCCGGCAACCAATGGTATTAGTGTCCAACACCAACCAATCCACGAAATTGCGCGACCATCTTCCATTATACTGAGGTAGATACTTGTCTCTACCCGAAACGGATTAGCTGCATATAACTAGATATCTTGATAAATTTAAACAAAACAAGTATAATAAGAATTGCAGAATAAAATGAATTTAGTCTATTTCATGATTTCTCATTTGGCTGCGAACAACCTACAATCTACCAGGTCTTTTTTGAGATAATAACTCACTGATGACAATTGTGATGGATGTATCGCTCAACTTCGTGGATTGGTTGAAGTTGGACATTAACACCGTTTGATATCGACTCAGTGGTCTAGAGCTTAAGCGTTCACGCGCGAGACCGATCGATCCTGGTTCCGAATCTCTAGAGGCAGGGTCGTGGATGCGCACTGCTGAGGAGTTCCACAGTAGGACGAAACGGCCTTCCAGTGTTTCCAGATTTTCCATGGTTGTCTATCTTCAGTTGACTCATGATATCAATTATTGAAATTACTATAATCTCCACAAAACCCCTTATGATATTAAACAAGTGTTTAGGATATTTTACTCTGTGAAGTTAAGATAAATGTTCGAACAGTAGCCAAAATCACGGTAATAAGAAGTATAGGAATACAAAGTGTATGGATAAACATAGTTACGATCAATGTATATAACTTATGAATTAAAGACTTCCCAAAATGTTGGCAGTCAAAGCAAAGAGCTGCTATGCTACAATTGAAGAACATATGGAACGCGAAACAACTGTCAATCAACATCAAGGTTAAAATCTTCAATATGAATGTCAAGATAGTTCTACTGTACGGAGCTGAAACTTGGAGAACTACTACAACCATTATCAGAGAAGTACAAGTATTTATGAACAGTTGTGTACACAAAATACTCAATGTCTGTGGAACGGATATCATCAGCAACAACCTACTATGAAAGAGAACAAACCAACAGGAAATTAGGAAAAAACGATGGAAGTGGATGGAACATATATTACAAAAGTCATCAAACTGAATCACGAAGCAAGCTCAAACTTAGAATCCTGAAGGAAAGCGGAAAAGAGGAAGGCCAAAAAACACATTATATCGAGAAATGGAAGGAGAAATGAAAAGGATAAATAGCAACTGGAACTTACTGGAAAGGATTGCTCAGGACAGAGTTGGATGAAGAATGCTGATGAACAGTCTATGCTCCTTGACTAGGGAGTAACCGGCGTCAGTATGTGTTATATCTAGATGTTTAGATTCTTAATATACCGCGTATAACTTGAGCTCTCGAACTCTAGAACCCTCCAAGTCTCAAATAAGAATACAGAATAAAACTGAAGAAATTTTTTGTTGGGTAGGAATCAAATTATACAAAATATCATGAGTATTTATAGATATTTAACGTTTGTTATATCAACATTATAAATCAACCAATCCGCAAAAGGCATATTATACTACTGACCATTAGTAGCACACCACGTTGATATTCTAAAAAGCTTCATTACGTTTTGATTGTATGGAACTCTTCGGCTCTTTCATGGGTGAGACTATAATTTATGAACAAACCAATTAGATATAAGATAATAGGTCTCAGATTTCGACACGATATCCGTTCTTCCATTTGGTTAAATAGATTTTTGGTATCTAATCTAATTTCTAACCTTAACTATCAACTGTAAATCTGTTGGGGTATTCAGAAAAATACCCCAGAAATTATCTAATGCCATTCCTGAATGAGAAATAGTGTCATTTCCCTATTGGTCAATATTTATTTGTGTCATTTCCTGAAGGTTAAATCTTGTAGAAATGTTACTTTCTATTTTATGGTACGATGTAGTCTGTTTGATTGCTATATAAACAGAGTATGTTTGAAATATAATGATTCATATCTCCGAGGCTGAGACTTGTGTTCTGGACTCAACTGGCTTGGCTAGACAGGGAAGCAGAGCCAATCAGAACTCTAGGCTGCTCGCACGTATTTTACGCGTCTTTGGTCCGATCAAGCATTCTCTCTCTCTCCTCGAATCGCACCTCTCTCACAAGTTATAACAAAATCATAATTCTAATTCCTCACACACTGGTTTATAACCCTCATTTGATCCTCGTTATTAGGTGGACACTCTCAATGTCATTTTAGCGTCTCCTAAAGGTCGTCCATAAATTATAATCTTGCCCTCTTCGAGCTTCTGAAGGCTCCGTTGTAGTTCTTGGAAGCCGTCCGAATACTAAGGAAGTAAATAAGTATATTTGTAGCCGGATAAGAAATCATGAATTGATTTTATTCTATAAAACTTTATTCTTCTTATCATATTCAATGTAATAATTTTATTTAAAAATTAATTTACTATTATTCTATATTTATAATAGATGTCAATGTAAATCAAATGCATATTATTGGCAAACTATCAATTCATTAACTGGTTGTTTATTAATACCAGAAATTATAAATAGTAAATTTAAAAATGTCTCCATGACAACATGGTTTATTGAATGTACTCATGATATGTATCAATTTTGTCAATATGGTACAAAAAAATGTTATCAACGTTTACGTTTAATTCCATCTAATTATCATAATAACAGTAATGATAATAATGAATTAACTTTAATTTCAAATATTGATATATCATTATGGCCATATTGTTTATGTAAACAAGATTTTACTGGTATTGATTGTTCTATACCATATGATCCATGTCAACATCTTATATTGAATGTTTTAATAAAATCACAAATATTATTACATAATCAATTAGTTTATTATAATGATATTGATCGTCCATTAATATCACTTAATGCTGATGATGATGATGATGGTGATAGTCATAGTGATTATCTTAAATCAGCTACTGGTAATTGGTTATGTGGTGTTCCATTTGGTTATGGTACATGTCATTCTTCTTCTTCTTCTTCTTCTACTGGTTAGTTATTATATTGATTATGGATATATTTTGTGTTTGAATGTTATTTGTTTTATATCTGGATTGTCCCTAATTGTTGTGTTAGAAAATGCTTATTATTTATACTTGTGAAAATGAGGAACCATTGTAATTCTCATGACGCGAAAATAAGAACATAAAGACTGGTATAAGTGAAGATTTATTACCCCCCCCAAAACACGATGATGAAGCCGACAGAGGCGAAGATGACGACGATAAAGACTCATTTATATATTGATTATACACACACTTTGATTATAACAAGTCATATACTGAACATAGTTGATGCCAATTGAATACAAGAATATCACATGTAATACAGAAGAATTAGGTCATATGGGGAAACAAAATCGAATATTACACAGAATAATCATCATCTTAAATTAGAAAACAGAAGTAATGCTAAACCAAACCTCATAATCAATAAATCATCATATCAATTATGATATATATGAAATATCAGAAGGGGTTTTGTGCAGATTGTAGTAATTTCAATGATTAAGATCATGAGTCAGTTGAAGCTAGACCGCCATGGAAAACCTGGAAGCACTGGATGGCCGTTTCGTCCTAGTATGGGACTCCTCAGCAGTGCGCATTCACGACCGCCCCCTGCGAGTTTCGAACCCGCGACCTACTGGTTTCGCGCACGAGCACTTAACCACTAGACCACTGAGCCGGCATCCAACATTGTTCATGTCTAACTTCAACTAATCCACAAATTGAGCGACACATCCACCATTGTCTTCAGTGAGTTACTATCACACAACAGACCTGGTTGAACTCCACTGGTCACTACTTCTCACTAGAACTCCAGGAGTCTCACAATAGGACGAGACGGCCGTCCAGTGCTTCCAGGTTTTCCATGGTGGTCTAGCTTCAACTGACTCTTGATCTTAATGATTGATATATGAAATAGTTTAACTTCATTTACATTAATAATTGATGAGGTAATAGTGTAATTTTACAAAAAAAGGCATGTAATAATCCCTAGTTAGTTGTATAGTTTTATTTATTTATACAAGTTTTAAATTTGATAATTCATGGATGACCTTTGTTTGATGACAAAGTGACCTTGAGAGTGTTCATCTATTCACGAGGACCAAATCATAGTTATAAAGCAGTGTCAGTCAATCAGCTACAACGTAGGATCAAGCACATATAAGCATCAGTCTAAGTTGCCGTACTTCATTAACACAACAAAACGAACACTGGATTCATAGAATTAGTAGTGTAATATAAAAAAAATTGAATATAAGGATATAGTACAGGAAGAAAGATATAAAGCGATTTTAATCTCATAGTTTAAGGGAAGACAGAGAGTATATACACCTACACCACTGTGATTGATTCTGAGTCATTTCACCAAGAGTCTCCAACCACTGTTTACAATAGTCACGCGGATCCCAGCCAAGTAGTCTGCATCTACCAACATGGCTAAGAGCACTAGTCAGCATTGCGCGGCGTGGTAATAGGAGTTCAAGCATGACTAACACGTGGCCCAAACGTCTCAGTCGATAAAGATTTACAAATTCGTCAGCTGATTTATTATCATCATCATTCGCTAATTCCCTGCATCTAACCTCACTATTACTTACTCGATGATCCCGGCAGATACTGGATAGGATTTCTAGGACATTAGAATTATGATTAACAATTGATAGTTAAGATTAGGAATTAGATTTATGGTTTTCATCATGCCGAAACGTTTTTTAGCCAAATCGATAACTGAATTTCACGTCAAAATCCGAGACCTGTTATCTTATACACCTGGTTGGTTCATTCATAAATTATAGTTTCGCTAGTGTTCATTAATTTAAACACTTTTGATGATTATATATTTGTAGATCTTGTTAAATGCCTCCGCTAAGCCATTCCTCTTTACTCTCTTCTCTTCGCCTTCCTTCGTTCCATCTCCCTGATTGTCTGTTCAGATCAACGATTGTATGAAATATTCGCATTCGACACTTCATTCTCGTATTTGACTTATTTAATTCTGTTATTCACTAACTCGATTGAAGTCGATAATTATATACGAGGACTGATGATATGTCAAAGTCGATAACGGTAATCACATAATCAAATTAGAGTCAGATATATCCTGGGCCACTTAAGGCTATATCGAGGCAATCCACACAGGATGCACATATACCAATAAGAGACTGATCATTTGTACACCTAAACACCAATGGAGAGATTCAAGCAAACAACACCAAGTGAATTTAAACTGCACCTCAATGCACAAGCAGGTATTTATCAGGACTAGGTAGTTGAGCGAATAACGCGATGGCATTCGAATCAAACGATACTGGGTTCGAGTCCCGGAGTGAATATCAACTGTGAGATGCGGTTACATCGAGCTGACGAGTCCCAAATAGGACGAAACTCTCGTCAAACTGGATTACACTACTAACTACTATTCATCTTTGCTTATCATACATAATATCAAATGATTGATTTATCCTCAATAACTTTGTTTTGAAAATAAAGATTCAACCTAATCCAGAGTTAAACAACAGCAATCACTAATAAACTCATGAACAAATGATTCCAGTATATTCAAGTTATTTAACAGTGAACATCTTACTTTTTCATTATTCATGATTATTGATACGTTGGACGTATACAATGAAGAATATGATATAAATGTATATAGAAGTAGTAGAATTAGTAATAGTATTAACGTTAGCAGAAAATATTAAACATAATGTGTTTGGTTCAAATATTCTGAATGAACCTAGAAGACACAAAGTATAAGATAATCTGGAAATTCGAGATCTAAAGAGAAATAGGTTAAGTTCATTTAAGCTATCGGTACCAATTCTGAATGTTATTGTTTAAAATCTCTAACTATTAGTAGTTTGATTTCTGCTACTGATATTGACAGATATAAGTAGTATATATTATCAGTTGAAAGTGGAATAAAAACAGAAAAGGATTGGTATGGAAATGAAAGAAAAATAAAGTCTAAGATAATTAATGAATGTTTTTTTCAAATAAAGTATTTATTGTATGATTCTCATATTTTATCAAGATATTCTGTATTGAAATACATTTAGTTGTCATCACTGATATTATTGTTCATTACAGTAGTTATATTTATATGGACTTCAACTAGATAGTTTGCATCTAACAGCACAATTCAATCCAACAATAATTGTACTGATCATAAATTTCAGTTTGACCATATATAACTTACTTTCAACCTATTTCTTCATTAACTAACATATGTACGTTATAAGCGAAGATAGATGGTGGCTAGCAGTCGAATGCAGGACGCTCATTTCGTCCTATCTGGCACTCATCAGTTGGATGTACTTACATCTCATAGTTGATGTTTACTTTGGGACTCGAACTCAGTTCTGTCCGCTTCAAATGTCATCGTATTATCCACATAGCTAATGATTCCTGATAACCACTTGCTTATGCAATCAGGTGAAATATAAATTCATTTGGTATTGTTTACTTGAATCTTCCCATTGATGTTTAGGACTGAAATTGATCAGTCTCTTATTGGAATATATGCATACTGTAAGTATTGTCTCTATATTGTCCCAGAATGAATATGAACTCTGAGATGCAGGTACATCCCGCTGACAAGTCCCGAATAGGACGAAACGCGTTTTGTCCTGGATTCCACTACTAGCTACTACCCATCTTTACCAACATGAAACTAATCAATTACGGTCCTAAACATCAATAGGTAGATTCAAGTAAATGGTACCAAATGATTACCTAGGTTATATTTCCATAATGTTAATCAATAAAGAATTATAATTTTATCGAATGATTTTCTATTGATCATTATCTTACTTACTTACTTACTTAAGCCTGTTACTCCCAATGGAGCATAGGCCGCCGACCAGCATTCTCCAACCCACTCTGATTGATCATTATCTACTATATTATTACTTGTTATTGTATTGATTATTAGGCTTTCAATATTATTGTCAATGTAATATCGGTTATGAAAAAGATGTAAATTACAGTGATATGGATAATTGTTGGAAACAAACAGAACAAATAGTAAACAATCATGAAACTGTTTATAAATGTGATCAAAATATTTGCTTAAATGGTGGACAATGTATTTATGCAATGAAAGGACTTGTAACTTATATTGATCAATATAACAATGAGATTACTGTTAGTAATGATAATAATCATAGATATAATCAAGTGCCAATATGTCAATGTCAACCAGGTTATACTGGTTTCTATTGTGAATTAAAAGAAGGTGTATGGAGTGGTAAGTAATCAATGATAAAAAAAGCTTCTTATTCATTTAAGTAGTGGTCATGAGTGCTGTTAGAGGTTAGATGCAGGGTATTAGGGAATGAGGCTGGAAAATCAGTTGGTGAGGTTGTGAATCTTCATCGATTGAGATGGTTGGGCCACGTGTTACGTATGCCTGAAAACCGATTACCATGACACGCAATGCCAACTGGTGTTGGAGATGGTTGAAAGAAAGTTAGGGGCGGACAAACCAAAATGTGGCATCAGTCCTTGAAGTCACTAACTTCTGATCTGAGCCATGTTGGGAGATTCAGACTGCCTGGTTGGGGTCCGCGTGACTATCGTAACCAATGGTTGAAGACTCTTGGTGACATGGCTCAGAATCGATCACAATGGCGTCGGTGTATACACTCTCTGTCTTCCTCTTAACTAAGAGATTAGAGTCACTTCATATCTTCCTTTCTACGAACTAATTCTATCTTCCTGTACTATATCCTTATATGGAATCTTCCTCCTAGGTATTACCACCACTGAAGTAACTACTTCAATGAATTTGGTGTTCATCTTGTTGTGCTAATGAGGTGTGGCAACTTGGACCGATGCACATATGTGCCTGGTCGTACGTTGTAAATGATTGACTGGCTGACTTCTTATTCATTTTGACTCGTTTATATTTCATATTTTTACCTTCTTGATATACAATTGCTGGTCTATTGGATTTGTGAAGATTGTTAGATTTTCAGTTTAAATCACAAACTGATCTTAGCTAGATCACCGATGAGAACATAAAATTATTGAACAACTGTTTCATCCTAGTGTGGGACTTATCAGCAATGTGTATCTATGACCCCTCATAAAAGGATCAAATCCATAATCCTCCATCTCGTGTGTGGACGCTTAACGTCAAGATCACTGAGTCATCATCTAACAGTGTTAATGATTTATTTCAGTCAGTTCATAATGTTGTGCAATCCTCATCTGTTGCTTATAGTGAATAACTGTTTCATGTCTAAAACACATTGAACTCCAATAGTTACGGATTCTTACTAGAACTCTAGAAGTTACTTCCTGATGCGGGATCATGGATATACACTGTTGATAACTGTCAAACTAGGATGAAACGGACATCCAGTGTTTCCATATTTCCAATGATTTCCTAGCTTAGATCGGTTCGTGTTTTAAACTGTGAAGTACTTATATGAGTATAAATAAAATAAAACGTACCTGTTGGATTTATAGGATTGATAAACAGTATTATTATCCATATTCAATTGTGGTAGATAGATGTTGTCTTGACGTAATGGTCAAGATTACTAGTACGCATAACATACCCGGGTTTTAGTGACTGAAAAACTTAGTTTTAAATGTCTTACCATCTCATTATATCAAATGAAGTGTTGTATGATTGATATCAAACAGTTTCACATTGTTGATAATTGACATAACAAAACCAGTTCCAAGCTCAAATTGATAAAATGTGCTATGATTATCATAGAATAATCTACCTTTTCATGCTAAGCAAATGAGACATTCTACTTCTGTTATGTGATTTTCTATTATATATGATATGACTGATTGACGAATAAATGAAACATGTGAGCTATTATCCCATTGAAGAAGAAATCTCATATATTGATCAAAATATGTTAAATATTGGTTTGAATTATATTTTAGGGTTAGAGTTTTTTAGTGAGGTAGTTTTCTACGGGATAGGACCATTTACCCCACGCCCAACCCTCCTTCTTTATTTGGGCTTGGGATCGGCAGTAGCCCTAGAGGGGGCTCCAGGCCGAGTTCTACAATTGAAGAACGTCTGGAACTCAAAATAACCATCAACCAACATTGAAGTCACAATACTCATTACAAATGTCAAAACAGTGCTACTGTATGGGGCGGAAACCTGGAAAACCACGAAAGCCATCATCCAGAAGAAACAAGCGTTTATTAATAGTTGTCTAAGCAAAATACTTCGGATCCGTTGGACAGACACTATTAGCAACAACCTACTGTGGGAGAGAACAAATCAGATCCCAGTGGAGGAAGAAATCAGGAAGAAACGCTGGAAGTGGATAGGACACACATTAAAGAAAGCACCCAACTGCGTCACAAGACAAGCCCTCACATGGAATCCTCAAGGCCGAAGGAGGAGAGGAAGACCAAAGAGCACATTACGCCGGGAAATGGAGCTAGGCATGAGAAAAATGAACAAGAATTGGATGGAACTAGAAAAGAAGGCCCAGGACAGAGTGAGTTGGTTGGAGAATATTGGTCGGCGGCGTATGCTCCACTAGGAGGTAACAGGCGTAAGTAAGTAAGTAAGCAGGTAGGTAAGTAAATGTGTAAGTAAGTAAGTAAGTAAGTATGTTAGATATTCGTTGGTATCTACAGTTCAACATCATACAGTATTTGTATACAACATCTAATCGTTTGATTCTCTTGTTTATTTCTTAATAACCTTAACTAAGGAAATTTAAGATTTTAGGGATCGATTGAGATCATGAATGGATCAATGTCAAACCACTATTGAAAACCTAGAAGCATTGGATGACCATTTCGTCTCTAGTATGGGACTCTTCAGAAGTGGACATCCACCGTACATCATCCTGATATGATCAAATTTAGTATTTTTTATCTTATCTCTACTAACTAGAACAAACCAAAAGATGGGGATTTACAAGATTTAAACCATCTCTTGTGATACTAACTCTGAAGTTTACTAACTCCATTGTTTAAAGAGATAATATGTTCTTCGCTTTTACATCATAACAGCAATCTTGAGCGATTGATTAGACAATCAATAAGTAATTTATAGCTGGATAAACAGTTTCAACATCATCAATGCTCGAAAAATAGTTAAGATTAATAGTTAAGAGTCCGGATAATGTTAGAAGTTAAGGTTATAAATGTTAGAGCTTGTTACTAGGGTTAGTGTTTTTATAAAGAACTGACCTCTCGCCAATCAACCGGAAGTAAGGCACTTCGAAAGCAGCTGGCCACCAAGGCTGTGCGCAAAAGTGCTCCAGCTACCGGGGGCGTGAAGAAGCCACATAGGTACAGACCTGGGACCTTCGCCCTCCGAGAAACCCGTCGTTGCCAGAAGAATACCGAACTTCTGATTCGTAAACTTTCATTCCAGCGTTTGGTCCGAGAAATCGCCCAAGACTTCAAGACCGATGTACGATTCCAGAGCTCAGCCATGTCTGTTCTTCGGGAAGCTAGTGAAGCATACTTGGTTAGATTATTTGAAGATACCAACTTATGCGTTATCCATGTGTAAGCGTGTCATTATTATGCCAAAGGATATCCAGTTGGCACGACGTATCTGCGGTGAACGAGCCTAACTGACTTCTGTTACAATCATAATATTATCTTAGTAGTTAAAGTTACGGGGATCAACCTAAACAGCTGAGATTCAATACACCATTGATTATGTATCATATCATACCAATTACTCTCAATTTGTACAACTTATGCATTAAGAACAAGATGTAATGACTTTTTCTACATATGTCCAATACAGTCAAAAACTATCGTTCACCGCGTTTTTCAATTTCACACCAAGTTACCTTCAATCTAGTTGATTCCCTGAAAGTTTTCAATATCATATGATGTTACTATATACATAATAAGATTATTCAAGATAACTTAGTTTTCCATATACAACTTATCAAAGTATTCAAACCAACAAAAGCTTCATTCTCTATTGCTGTGATAATCAACACTAAGATACATGTTTATCCAGGTGAACAAAATCCTAGATAGAACACAACATTACATCCCCCAATATATACTATTAGTTAGAATCTATCTATTCTATAAAAAGGGCTTATCAGGTTTCTATAACACTCTATTTGATGACTATTTTTGGACGGGAACCGGTGTTTTCAATGTGGTATGGTCGCCGGTGACTTTTCTTCGACTACTACTTAAGTCAAGGTTCGACAACTTTTATTGGTCTCAATTCATTTTACCGGTTAAATTTAAATATAATAGGTAAGACTCTATTGTATATGTAATATAGTATTTACTTAATCATATTGAATTGTATAATCAAAATGGTTTCTATTCATTTCATTTCATTTCTTGTATTGTTACTAAGAATGGAATTCATGGAGTGATTGTCTACCTAATTGTGGTAGAAAACGTTATCGTTCACGTTTACGTTTATGTCATGGAGATGTTGATTGTACTGGATTCAGTCAAGAAATTCAAAAATGTCTATCAAAAAAATGTATCACAGGATCATTGAATAAATCTAACCATAAATCAATTCAATGGAAAATATTTACTGTAAAGCATTATTTAATATGGTTTCTAGGATGTTTAATACCTATAGAGATAGTAATTATTATTTTAGGTGTTATTATATATGAAAATTATCTACTTAAAACATCTTCATTGTCTTCAACATCATCATCATTATCGTCAACATCGTCATTTTCATCTCCACCTTCCTCATCATCATCATCATCATCATCGACTTCATCGTGATCGCACACTTCATTGTTCAATCACTGTAATTCACTTACTAATATCTTGTAATCTTCCATTCTTGTTGTTATAAGTAAAAGAAAAAAATACACAAATGATTTATTAATGTTACAGTCAGTCAGTCTTGAGTGCTGTTAGAGATATGAGGGCAGTTATCACTTCCCGGTTGCCTACACAGTGGAAGGGTTCCTCTGGAGGTACCTGAAAAGGAAATTGGATTAAATCTGGTCTTAGTGAATTGAGAGCGTGACCACACTGCCCACGACCGTTTTATGAGTAGTTTTTGTGTTAGCTCCACACTTGTTGAGACCTTACCGACGGTGACGGATATCGGTGGAATAAGGCGAGGTGTGCATTTTTATGGTCAACCTTTTCTAACCCCACTTCTTCTTGTGGGAAAGCAGCATCTTTATTATGCTGGTTTTCTGAAGGAAACATCTTACTGCTGTCACACCTCTGTACAGTCAGCAGTATGACTTCGCCTTCGGACCTTGGATTTCTTGCTTTTAGTCCTACCGCTCTTCAACCGACCTGTCTGGCATGGTAGAACCTTGAGGAACGGTTGTTCCAGCCAGTATAGCTCAGTTGCTTCATCACGATAGGCAAGCCCGACTAATACGTCAAGGTAGCAACAACGGTCGGGAATGTTACAGTACACATTAGCTCTTTAATAAGATGTCTTTAAAACAAGTTTAAAACAAATTTTATGAGATAAATGATTATAAACCAGATAACTGACGTTTATCATTCATTAAAACAACTTGAATATTTACACAGAACTTTTGTGGCATGTGGTGTCCAAAATCTGATACCGGCACATGGTATGCTACGAGCTAACCTCCCCCCTCCAACTACCTACTTGAGCAAGAGCACATGATTGAGTGAAGAAGTGTATTAGACTACCGAAGGCAATACACAAATACACGCGAAATTCGAACCCAGGACCTATCAGTCTGCTGAAGAGTCCCATACTAGGACGAAACGGCCGTCCAGTGTTTCCAGGTTTTCCATGGTGGTCTAGCTTCAATGGACTCGTGATTTCAACCGGTGAAATTTCTAAAATCTCCACAGAACTCCTTCTGATAAAAAAATATCTCCAAAAATTAGTAATAAATTATTTGATTAGCTAAATTACGAAATATATTAAAGTGTTAGCATAGAATCCTTTGAATAGTCTTAATCTAACAACCAAATAACAAGCGAAATTGATATATTGGACTGATTACCCTAAAATGCCCTGGTACGGCCTGAGGGTAGAGAGAGTTCACTCTCCCTCTCCAAATACTCTCACATAGCCACATGTGTACAGCCACTACCAGGAAAGTGTTTGGACATGTCAAGCATTAAAAGAAGCTTGTTTAATGATGTTGAGAAGTCAAAGAAGAATGAAAATGATTTGTAGATTAGACAAAGAAGCGATAATTATCCACTTGACACAAATAAAAAGATGATAAGAGTATAAACAATTAAGAAATAAAGGATAATTAATTACAGAATGAAAGTATAGAATAAAAGGCAAGTTGAAAAGAATGTTAGGGACAAAGAAGAATTATAGATTGTATACGTTGCTTGAACACATACAGAGTTCTGGCTTTAATTGGTGAATTGATGACATCTAAAGAGTGTACTAGAGTTTGAGTCAACTTCCCTTCGATCATTTAGATTATTTTGAGGAACGATTATTATGAAACGACCTTCTCGGAGTTCATGAGGTACTCTCATACTGATATATCGATTACTTCTGGTTCTATACAATTGTAAATAATACTGTTGTATTCGAACACTTTGGTGATTAAGACCAATTTATTGTTTATCTCAAAATTACAGAGTATCTACGTAAAATATGAAAACCATACATTAGATACATCAATTGCACATCATCCATTAGCTGTCTCTTACATATTTTATCGTTCTTTCATTCCTATTCTCTTCAATTCGGTCTTCTTAATATTCTACTTCAAGGCATTCCACTACAAATTGGTGTTACATACTACTTATATCTGTCAACATAAGTAGTATACACTACAATACTACAGAAGAGAACATTTTCTTCACTGAATTAGCTATATATATAAAACATGAGCATATAGATGCATTTCAATTTTTTTAACTAAGGAAGGCTTCCTTCCCACATCTAAGCTTGGTTCTGTGTTTTTACCTTACCATCAAGGTAGGGCAGAAGAATTAAAGTGGATATTAAAAACATGCAAAATAAGACAACTAGCACACTAAGAAACACTAATTAGAATTAAAGATAAGATCCTGCTCACTTCTGTACGAAATTGTGTCTACAGATTGGATTGAGTCGATTGTAATACATGCTGTATTGGACAGTCTTACCGTGACACCTCGACTCGTGCCAAGGAACACTTAAGTTACACAAGAAGACTTCATAATAATCAAGTAAGATTGGAACATTTACCGGTTAAATCAGAAATAGCAGCGCATTGTATCTCCAATAATCATTAAATTGATGTTTTAAAAATATCAAAATAGTTCATAAAAGCTTTTACAACTACAAAGAGAAGCGATTAGCTGAAGCGTTTCACATGATGCTAAATCCCTCTGTCCACAATAAGAGAGAAGGCTTGAATATTCAACCAAACTGAACTATTTATCCAAGCAACCATATATGACGCTACTCATTTTCCACATAATCTGCACACACACACATACTCACAGTTCCAACCTCAATACTTCATATTGCAAATGCTTACGTTCTTGATACTTACATTCTGAAGCACAAATTAATATACAGTGACAAGTCATACAAATTCACCATGACAAAGAACAATTTAACAGTGTCATATGATTTTAGTTGTTCTAAAAATATTTTGCATTTTTTTTCTCATACTTGTGTTAATTGAATGTTGGTCATTTATTTACTCTGAAGAAGTGTCTTACATTAAGTCACGAAACGTTAAAAATACAATTTATCTACTCATTGGGTTTTTATGGATATTATAGTAATTTCAATAGTTGAATTCATGAGTTAATTGAAGCTAGTCCACCATGGAAAATATGGAAACACTAAACGACCGTCCGGTCCTAGTATGGGACTCTTCAGAAGTGAGGATCCACGATCCCATCTCGGGAGATTCGAACCCAGGACCTATCAGTCTAGCCTCTATTGGTCTATCTTTAGTTGACTCATGAACTGAACTAATAAATTAGTATATTATCTATAAATTCCCTCTCTGAATATAATCATCATTTGGTCACTAGTGACGGTCTCAAAGAGGTATTTCCTGGAGTTCTGGTGAGAAGCCGTGACCAGTGGAGTTCAACCGGGTTAGTTGTGAGATAGAAACCCACTGAACACAATGGCGGACGTTCACGCAATTTCGTGGATTAGTTGAAGATAGATATTAACACCGTTAGATGCCGACCAGCTCAGTGGTTTAGATGTTAAGCGTTCGCGCACGAGACCAATAGGTCCTGAATTCGAATCTCGCAAGGTGAGGTTATGAATGCGCACTGTCGTGTAGTCCTGCAATAGAACGAAACGGGTGTTCAGTGCTTCTAGTTTTTCCATGGTAACCTATCTTCAACCGACTCATGAATTCATAGATTTAACTCAATTAAGGTACCACAAAAAAAATAAAGCAAGTGAATAACACAAGCTTAACCTCTAGACCATTGTGCTGACCGGTGTTAATGTCTAAGAAGTTGCGCCACCGTCCATCATTATCATCAGTAAGCTACTATCTCATAAGAAGTTAAATTCTTAAATTATACATGGGACTGAATGTAGATCAGATTAAAACATTGTTCTACTATATATACATTTCAGAAAATAATGAATAGTTATACCATACTAGTTTCAAACTCTTCATCCATAACCTTATGTAACATCTGATCATATTAAAAAATATAGTTTGCTTAGATCAGTTGCAATCAGTTAACTCCTTTATTATGTTTAGTGACATATAATTAGTGAATAAGAATGATGTGAAGAGAGAGAGAGAAACCAAACTGTAATAACGAACAATGGAAGTTATTTTTGAGAAGGTTATTTCATTTGATTCAAAGCTTACAAAGCATTAACATTCAGTTTATTCAACAAACCATAAACTTTTTTAACCTAAACGTAACATTTTGTACTTCATTTTTACTAGACGAATGCTTCGTATTAATATGATTGTACTTTTCTAATTGTTTGTACATGGTGTTCATGTTAGTCAAATGGTTATTTCATATCTTTTGTGTTAATCTGAATCTAGAATAAGTCGAGTAATGATCCTGTTGACTGGTTCTCTCTCTCTTGCTTGTCAATCAATCAGACGATGGGATAGTGATCGTCTCTTTGATCCCAAAGCTGTTTAATCACAGATCGAAATCAAGGTTAAACAACATAGCCTATTGTGTTAAGACTATAAACTAGATCGAGACAAATTCTCTGCTGTATATTAGATGAGAAGAGAGATCGTAGGACGTAACAACGTACATAACTTATAACTCCCTACTCTGTTTTACATCAATAACGTAAAAAAACACAATGAATTAGAGTCTCGAATAAATAAACTATGAAGCATGATTATGAAACAATGTTTAATGTTCATCGTACATGTGATGCAATAGTAAAATAGGTGAAGTAACTTCTTGTCAAAAAATGTCATTTCAAACTCTTGATGGACTGTTAAAACAGATATTCACCGTTTTCAGAAGGAGTTTTGTGGATATTATAGTAATTTTAATAGTTAAAATCATGGGTCAAGCAGTGACCAGTGGAGTTTAGCCGGGTATGTTGTGAGATAGTAACTCACTAAAGACAATGGTGGATGTGGATTAGTTGAAGTTAGAAATTAACACAGTTGGATACCGGTCAAATCAGTGGTCTAGAGGTTAAGTGTTTGCGCGCGATACTGATAGGTCCTCGCTTCGAATCTCTCGAGGCAGCATCGTCGATGCTCACTGCTGAGGAGTCCGATACTAGGACGAAACGGTTGTCCAACGCTTCGATGTATTCCATTATGATCTAGCTTCAACTGACTCACGAG